CTGTAAAAGAGTATAACCTCTGCTAACTGTGAATTTCCCATCATTGCTTGCTGCCCAAATAATAGAATCTCTCCTATTGCTGTCCAAACTGACACTGTCCAGCAATTGCATTAACTGAGCGAATTCATCTACTTCCCAGTCATTAAGACCCCTCCTGAAAATCAACTGCCCAGTCATTACTCGAGTAAAAGTCTGCTACCTTCCCAGTCTTGTCAGTGGAGCATCGATATAAAACTGGAAATTTTGATTTGAGACTTCCATTCCCCATCCATACATCAGTCCAGAATTGGATATTATTACCACTCCCCAGCTCCAACTTTACAAACTGACTACATTCAATCCATAGACTACTGATAGTGCTCCAAACTCCCCTTTTAGGAGAGGATTGGACTGCGCCACGAGTCCAAAAATCCTTCTTGCCATATTTGACATCTATGAGTTGTTTCATAACCTATTGCTTTCATGATTATATCTCAAAAGCCACCTAAATAATAGGCTTTTGTTGTGCAGCCTTAAATTCCTTACACCCAAACCTTCTCCTTTTATTCCTTTCATCACTTCCTGCCACTTAACCAAGTGGAGCTTCCTTCTATCAGCATTACCTTCCCAAAGGAATTTATTTCGCATAGCACTCAATTTTTTTCTCCACTGTTGTTGGCATTCTAATTATTGACATCAAATAAGTAGGCATACCATCCAATACACTGTTAACCAGTGTAAGTCTTCCCCCAAATGACAAGTGCCGTTTCTTCCATGGAGCAAGTTTACTCCTACACCTGTCCAGAACTCCCTGCCACATTCTTCTGGTCATTCTTTTTAGCTCCTAAAGGCAGCCCTAAGTAAGCCGTAGGGAGCTGCTCCACCTTACAACCAATAATGTCTGCCAAATCACCAATGCAATGTTCTGCGTTAATACTGAAACATTACTCTTCGCCGAGTTCACTTTAAATACTGAGAGAGCTTCAAAAGCTAATAGAACTCCTCTAAGATGTAAAATTTGATCTATCGCAGTTTCACACAAAATCAAAGTATCATCTGCATAAAGTATGTGTGAGATTTCTCCCTCACTTCTTCTACACTTCAACCCTCTGATCCATCCCAAATTTTCTGCATTTTGAAGCAGGATGCTTAGAATCTCCATCATCAGCAAGAATAGATAAGGAGACAAAGGATCCCGCTGCCTTGGCCCCCTGTAAGACTTGAAGTAACCCTGAGGACATCCATTAATCAGGACTGAAAAGTTAACTGTGGATATACAATATTTTATCCACCCAATCCATCTTTCATCAAAGTCCATTTGCTTCATGAGATATAGTAAACATGCCAATTAACATGGTCATATGCCTTTTC